CGAGGACTTCCCAGGCGGTCACCCATCCTGGTACTGCTCTCGCCCCAGCACACTAAATAGAAAATGAAAATCTTTGTGTTGGGAATTTTTCTAAATTCTCCCAACACTTTGATGGAATCTAACAATATTTTTTCACTGGAGAATTTCTCAAGAAATTTGTCTCTATAATTTCCTCATGAAAATCTCACCATCTGAAATTTACTCTTAACAATTAATATCTCAATTAATGCAATATGATAAAGAATGAATGATAAGGACATAAAAATTTTTTTATTACTTTTATTTTTTGGGAAAATATTTTGAAAATTAATTTAAACTATGTCGCTACATATTTCAAATACAATTCGATCAATCATTTATTGTTATTAAATAATTTATCACTATAAAATTTCAAACATAATAACTGGAATTCTAGTAAATTTAAAGATAAGCCTAAAATATACCTCAATGGACACACTTAGTTGGGCCTAAAACCTTTGGGCTGTTGCACACTCTTGAACTGTAGGTTAAGGGCTTGTCTGGATTAGGATGGGTCAAACCGACCCGCTTCTTATCTTCTTTCGTTATTTTTCCCTTCCTTTAATTGGCACCAATAACCATTTAGGTGCCACTGTAAATACTAAACCCTAATCCCAGCAGTTAAAAACCCACATTTTCTCCCCTCTCTTTCTCTCTCTAATGGTACATTCTTTCTCCAAAAATTAATTCAATAGTAAAATTAATTCAAATTAATACTAATAATAAAATAGAGGATTAAAGTTAAATCGGACATGTTAGTAAAAGAATAATAGAAAATAGGATTTTAAAAAATAATAATAAATAAAATGAAAAATATATTTTCCCAAAAAAAGTGATAAAAAAGATAATTTTTTATGTCATCGTCATTAGTTCTCTAATGTGTTGCATTTATTTGAGATATTGATTCTCATGAATAAAAAATTTCAATGATAAGATTTTCTCGAAAAAATTACAAAGATAAATTTTTAAAAAATTTTGTAAGTGAGGAAATATATCTAGATTTCACCAAATGCTCAACATAAATTTTAATATGTTATTTAATAAAAGGGAAAAATTACGTAATCTATTTCATATTTACATCATGTGCATTGAAAATGTTAATGTGGCTAATAAATAAAAATTCTCGATAATGTGATTTTTTAAAGAAATTATAAACACAAACTTTTTGAAACTTCTCTTGATTAGGAAATATTTTTAAATTTCATCAAAGTTTTGAGAGAATTTAGAAAAGTTTCCAATATAATGGATTTCATTGATTTAATTAACTGAAAATAGAAGATGTGGAAAAAATAAAAAAAAATGAAAAAAGAATAAAGGGCAAACTCAAAACCCTTTTCGTAAAATTCAATGAATCTAATGACGGAGCTCTAATAAGTGTGTTTTCTTGAATACCTTGATGTGAGAAATTTTTTTAAAATTCCACAGGAGCATTGGTCGGCAAAATTAAAAAAAAACCTTCAATATTTATTAATAATGGGAAAAAGGGAAAGAGTTAAAACGAAGGCACCTTTTAGGTAAACTATAGATAATAACAAATTTTGATCTCTAATGATATTGGTATTTATGGGTAAAATAAGTAGTAATTATAAGAAATATAAACAAATATAAAATTAAAGATTAATATTAATTAAAACTAAAATAAGATAACATGATTAATTGATATTGGTCTTTAGGGTGCTAATATCATCTTCATAGCAAAATTGTACTTTTAAATTTGTTTTGTAGATCAGAATCTATTATTTTTAATTAATCTAAATTAAGTTTAGAATTTCATTATAAAAGATAGACTTAAATAAGTGATTAATTATACTATGATAGAAAAAAAATTAATAATGATTTGGTCTTTACATCAAGATGATCAAATTCTTGAACCTGCACGTTGTGACATGGTACAATTAAAAGAAAAATAGCTTAGTTGGGTATAATAAACATGTAAAGGTTTAATTGTAAAAACGCAGATAATCCTAGACTTTTTTGTTATTTTAACCTAAAAATACTTTTGTTTGTTAGTCTCAAGGCTAGCATGGGGAGTGCCTAAAATTGGGCCGCACCCGTGACGAGCGATGATTAACCAAGGTCCTAATTGGGTCAATTTGTGCTTAGTTAGGCTCCAAAATGTTGCAAATTGTTCAGGTGCACCTGGTCTGAACTCTATTGTGACCTGAAAACAACTTTCGGCAGAATCATATAGATGCATAACTGTTGTATCACAAACTGGGCATGTGGACCGAAAATGAAGGTTTGAATAAGAGAGAATATGGAATAATTCCTCACTTTAAAATAATATCTAGCCAGAGTTATTATAATTTTTTTCTTGTACTAGTCTTAATACAATTATTGAAAAATCTCTTTGACGGTAGCCATTTTATTGTCTGCTCTAATGGGATGGCCCTTGCCGTTTCGAAGCTTTCACACCAGGAAAGCTAATCCTCTATTATTTTACGTATTCCCTTATTCAAAGATTTTAGTTTCACTCATAAGCGACAGTAGTCATGGCTGATCTTAGAAGTTGCATTTTCTGTTTGTACAAACTCTACCTTTGTTGACAACAGCCAGATAAATAGTGAAAGCTCCCAATTCTCTGCTGTTTCTTTGTTTGTCTAAGCTCCGCAAGAGTCATAAAGTACAGGATTAACAATCAATCTCTCTCACTTTATTGTCCCATCCTGTCGTTCTCTTGCCCAGGATGAAGCAAAGAGCTGTCTCAGGTGAAGTTAAACGCATAGGCAAATCAATGAGGAATTATTAAATTCAGTTTGTTCCAAATGCTGCAGTCCAATAACCATTACACTAGCAACAGTGATAGCCACTTGAAACAAGACTAAATCATCGCTCAGGCCGGCCGGGCGACCATATTGCTGGTTTATTTCAGATAGTGAGTTTCCCTCTCAAAAGATCAAACTCTTTCAAGCAAAGCACTTGCCAGTAGGCGTAGAAAGTATATTTTCTGAGTTTGATTCACATTCCAATCTGCTATCATGGTTTCTCTTCACAAATTGATCATTTTTTGTGTACTCCTTTTTCTGATCAAGCCCATCTCTTCGCAGCAATCTTATGACGATTCCAGTTGCACTGCAGAATCAGTTCAAAATTCCAAATACCTTTGCTTTCCAAAAGATTTTCCATGCCATACTTACGTAGTATACAGGGCTCAAAAGGATTTTCAGTCTATGTCATCTATTGCACCTCTCTTCAATTTAAGCATGTCTCATCTCCTTGAAATCAACCACATGACTGACGCTGATTCTAGCAATCTAAAGCTAGGAAGAGAGATCATCATACCTGTTCAATGCTCCTGCGCTCGTACATTCTCTGAAGCTATTTTCATGTACCATTTTTCAAGCACTGATTCTTTTGCTTCAGTTGCTTGTGGAGTTTTCCAAGGGCTGTTGAAATCGCAAAGTCTCAAAGAGGATAATCCTGACGTTAAACGTAACGATCCTGGAGACTTTATGATAAAGGTACCCATTCGATGTGCTTGTACCAATGCAAATCAAAGAAGAAATGGGTTTAAATATCTTGTAACATATCCTGTGATAAAGAATGACCATACAGATTTAATTGCTCGCAAATTTGGAGTACCTGAAGAAACGATCTGGGATGCCAATAAGTTGGGACCATTTTCAACCATTTTCCCTCAAACAATACTATTTATTCCCACAAAGGATGTTCCAGTAGTGAAATGGGATGTTCCTGAAGATTTACCCTCTAGTCCTAGAGTAACGACTCCCCTTGTGAAAATCCAACCAAGTAAGAAATCAAAGCACTTGATTTCATATATATTTCTTGGACTTGGTCTTCTAGTAGTGATTATTCTGCTGATTGCAGCTATCGTTGCTTTTAGAAGCATTAGGAAAAGGAGTCATCCTACAAGTTTTCAGCTTTTATCTGCTAGAAGTTCAGTGTCATCAAATGTCTCACCCGATTTTCTTGATAGAATGTCCAAGTTAAAGCCGTCACTAACAAATTTTACGTTGGAGGAGCTTAGGAATGCAACAGAGGATTTTAATGAGGGATCTAGGACTGGTAAAGCTGTGTATAAGGGGAAAATTGGTGGTTCCTATGTGGCAATTGAACAGATGAACACTGAGGAAGCGGCTCGCCATGTCATTTACATATTGACAAAGATTAGTCATTTGAACATAGTGAAGCTTGAAGGATGCTGCTATGGCACTAATCCTTATCTCGTGTTCGAGTTTGCAGAATATGGTAGCTTGAGGGACTGCTTGTCTAATGCAAATGTTGCGAGGCAGCTTACATGGGCAAAAAGAACTCAGATTGCTTTTGATCTTGCAGTGGGCCTCCATTACATACATTACTGCACAAAGCCATCTTTTATCCATCATAACATACACAGTAGAAACGTGCTTATAACCACGGATTGGAGGGCAAAACTTACTGGATTTAGATTGGCAAAACCAGTGAATTCCAGTGAAGAAAATGGAGAAATTAGCTGGAATGAATCTGTAATTGTGGGTAGAAAGGGGTACCTGGCACCTGAATTCCTTACTTACGGTCTGGCTTCTCTCAAGTTGGATGTATTTGCTTTTGGAGTGGTTTTGCTTGAATTGTTATCCGCTAAGGAGGCTGCTACGGATGGACTATTTTTGAAGAATCCCGTAATTTCTTTAGAAGACGCAGGGCATGAATGTTCTTTAGGGTACTTGGAAAAGTTGAAGGAATTCATGGATCCCGTTCTGGAGGGGAAGTATCCATTGGTTGATGCCATGTGTTTGGCATTCTTGGCCAAGGCTTGTGTTGAGCAGGATCCTCTTCACAGACCCACCATGGATAATGTTATAAGGGCTCTTTCAAGATTTGTATGATTTTCTTTCCTGTAAAACTTGGTTTTAATTTTTCTCATGCCTCTTTCTGGAGGGAATTTTCTTTCCTGTAAAAATTACAGGAATATAATGATATCGTGTTCAGGGCAAATTATACATATAAATCATTGAGGCAAGATGCCAGTGTCCTTGTGTGAATATGTGGCATCTCTAGTCACAACCATTCATTTCTATTACATATACATTTAATTTGTCTACTTAGACTGGAAAAATATTCTGGTGTAATCCTCAACTGCAAGAATTAGAGTTAGAACTCACAGGGTCAGTCAGATCAAGATCTTTAGGTGACAACTTGTCCTCAAATCTTTTTCCTTCAGAAGAATGAACAGAAAGTCTAATTTTCTTGCATTTATTCAAAATTATTTTATCATTAATTGAACCGTCTGAAGATCATTCCATCACCACTACACCTCTACCATGTAGCACTTGATGAGCAGAATAAACAACAGTGTTTCATTGTTTGCTAAAGTAACCAAAATATCAGCTAAAGATGCTATAGTGCAAGATATGAGAGACGGAGAAAAAGAGTAACACAAGGCTGTTCTGTTCTTTATAACAGCTACATGATCTCAATTCTAGAACATGATAAGGAAAGACATGGGAATTAATCACAGAGATTGATTTTCTTTTTTCTCTTTTGGCTTCAGCATGCAGCCTACATGTTTGATTTGATAATTAAAGACATATATCTACACAGACTAATTTGAAATGAAAGAGTGAAACAGCATTGCCCGTACTCCGAATTTTTGAATAGAAGGGCATATATCAAATGTGGATTTGTCTTCAGAAAAGAAAGCTCATAGTATTAAAGAGAAGAAGACATTATTTACCTTTAGTTGGTTTTATACAATCTTTTCATGAGCTGCAGCATTATGAAAACCGAATCACTATCTCTATCCGTAAGATGATCAGCGAACAATGAACTGCAGGTCTATGAAAAAGAATGCAGCATTGGTGCAAGATGGAGGGGTACTTTCTTCCGAATGACAAGAGCATAATAATCGTCCATGTCTAAATCCACACAATTTTGGGAATCAGGCAACTTCCAATCAAACCAGTACAAAAGGTTCGCCAAGACATACTCAGCTCCTGCAACTGCAAATGAAATTCCGGGACAACCTCTTCTGCCTGCACCGAACGGAGTGAACTCACTGTGTTGGCCCTTGAAATCAACAGAACTGTTTAAGAACCTCTCCGGGATAAATTCTTCAGGCTTGTCCCACAACCCAGGATCCCTTTGAATTGCCCATGTGTTGACCAACACTATTGTTTTGGGAGGAATATCATAACCTTGCAATTTAGTACCCGTGGGATTTTGTCGACTAACCATAACAGGAGCATGTAGTCTCAGGGTCTCTTTGACAACACATTTTAAGTAGTCCATTTCGTTGATATCAGTCTCAGTGACGCTTGAATTTCTTCCCACCACTCTTCTTACCTCTTCTTGGGCTTGCTTCAGAATACTGGGGTTTTTCACAAGCTCTGCCATTGCCCATTCCATTGTCGCTGCTATGTTATCAGTTCCTCCAATAAACATGTCCTGTCATCAACATGATAATGTTTTAGTTCCTAAGTGTTTGCCCCTTTATGACCATGGACATTTATGTGTGTATGTGAGAGAGAAAGAGGGAGAGGGAGAGATTTGTACCAGTAGGATTGCCTTGAGGTTTTCTTGAGTAAGACCAATGTCAAGCATGCCATCCTGCTGAAGATGGAGGAGGATATCAACAAAGTCTTTGTTGTCTGATTTATCATCATCGCTCATCAGAACCAGGTGTTCCTCTATCACTTGATCAAGAAAAGTATGCAACTCACTGGAAATTCGTTCCAATTTTGCGGTCAAGCCAGTAAGAACATCCATCCATCCGAAAGAGGGAAAGAAATCTTTAAAGCAAAAGGATCCTAAAAGGTCCATTGCCCTCCTTGATAATTCTCCAAAACTCTTATTTCCATCTTCTCTTTCAGAAACTCGACCAAGAACAGATCTGCTGATTATGTTATTTGCAATGGTTTCAAACATCTCACAAAGACCAATTGAAGATCCACTATGACACAACTGACGTATATTCTCAATCATTCTTGAAACTTCCTGTTCCCTCACAAGCTGAAACATCCGAACCCTTCTTTGGGTTAAAAGTTCCAGAACACAAATTTTCTTTGCTTGCCTCCAGTAGTCACCATAAGGACAAAATGCTATGTCAGTACATCCACAGAAGAGAGTATCGGCAACCCTTATTCGAGGCCTTTCTGTGAAAGCATCATGTGCCATCATGATCTCTCTGGCTATTTCAGCAGATGAAACCACAAGAGTTGGAGTCTGTCCCATGTGTAAAAGCATTAGAGGGCCATATCTTTCAGACAGGGTTCGGAAAGATCGGTAGGGCAGTTTCCCTACTTGGTGGATGTTGCCAATTATTGGCAGCTTTGGTGGAGATGGTGGAAGCTTGAGCTTGCTACTCCTTAAAAGCTTGATCAAATACAGAATGGAGAACAGAAGAGGTAAGAAGAGGACTGGATTGAACAGAACAGTTGCATTGAACTGTTTCCACATTATAGCTGGACTCATAATCTCTTCGGTTCTACAACTCACATGAACAAACGTTAAAAACATAGCAGATTAGCATTTATAAGAATTAATGAAGATGATTATTTTCTAGTTTACAAAGAAAAAAGAGATGCTCCTTTATTTCCGCATGGACTTCCGGTATCAGGCCTTAAACAGAATAAAAAAGTGAAAATACCGGATTGTATTCTGCTACATGTCACATGATCTTTAAACTTTTGACTTTAATAATGAATTTAGGAAACATAATTATTTCTAAATGTTAGTTGTCAAGAAGATATATAGACCTACATGTCAGAGCATGAAATCTAGGAGATCCCTTCCAGGCCATCAAAGTTTTGCCTGTGAAAAAATATATACAAGTGATTTCTTTTGGTTAAAATGTTAAACAAGTTTCACAATCAAACTATACATTCAAAAACAGTTACGCTAGCACTCCTGATTAATCAGGTTTAAAGCAGCACCTGACATAACAGCTGATTGTTTATGATCAAACACATTGATTATTGTAAACTGTATAAAGACATCTGAATATTTAACTTATTGTTTGATGATCTGTTTACTTAAAGAATAGAACTCAAATCCTTTATCCTTTAATTATAAAATAAAAAAAATTGTATAATGAACACTAACTAAAGACTATTTATAAAAAAAGGAAGAATAAAAAACAATGATTTGACATTTTTTAGTTTCATGTGGAAGGTCCCACTAGCACCGTACAATAATTTGGCTGTTTCTGAACATGTTATAATAATAAAAACAAACAGTAAGAAAGTCGGATCACTTTGATGCATATCAACGCCTGCCTTGGTTTTGAAATGCATAGAATACAGGAAGAATTATCTGTGAGATCCTGAAAGTAAGGCTTGTAAAGATTTTAAATACATATAATAGTGCCAATACTTGCTGGTCAAGCAAATGATGCTGACTTTTTCAAAACATCCATAATCATAATGGTGAATTATCTCTCTCCTGGCCGGCTCCAGGTTAGCAAATTTTACAGACTTGAGTCCGGTCTGGTATTCCATCCGGGCTTGAGAGTATTCTGGGCACACCAATTGCCCAGGATGCAAGGGTTTTGAATTTTTATTATTAAGACCACTCAAATCTAATCCAATTAACTAGTTACATGGTCCCATGTTTCCTTTGAATAGAAATGTTAATAGATTGGGCTCAGTTAACAGTTGAAAACTTATGCCCAGGTCCGACTTGGTTTAGTCTGTACATAGTCCCATGTTACACTTATCGTGTGGGTGGAAGAAAAAAATATGTTTTGGAAGAGAAGAAAAAGTTCGTTACTGGTATAATATTTTAATTTTTTTAATTATTTAAAATTTTTTTATTACATTTCAATTAAGTTATATATTTTTATTTTAAATTAAATAAATTTTTATAAAATTTTTAAATAAAAAACTTAAAAGTTCGATTTAGCCACACTCTGCCTACAGCTGTGATCTCAAATTAATTTAAGACCCATATGAATAGCATGTAGTTCAACTTTTAGATAAGTGCCCATACCAAGTTTGCCCGTGAACCCAAAGATTCAATATCTATGGTTATCTCGACATAAACCTCCCATGCTAAGTTCTCTTAGATTGGAAGGAATAGTTGCATCAACATTTATCTTCACAAAGTTCTCAATAGGTGGTTGCCAAGCAATAAAGCTTAATTGCTGGGGAAGGGAAGAACAACAGCCCACTTGAAACTCCATGAAACCCCTTTGTAGTAGCAATTATAGCAAGACTAGCATTGAAAAGCAATTGGTATCCTTCTTCAAAGAGACACTTATTTCTTTTCTACATATACTAGTCAGGCCTAAGAGAGGTTTCATTTCTTTTCTACATATACTAGTCAATAATGAGATATATCAAGAACCAAAACCAATGGGTACTAGATGGAGAGGAAATGTTTTATAGGCAGTTATTTCAGAGAGGTGGGGTTGGGGGAGTTTTCCTATAACCTGGTGGTGATGGGGGAAAATTGACAATGCTACCTCTTGTGAACTTAAGCAACAGATGGAGGAAAAACAAGACAAGGATAGACTCAATAAAGGGACTGCAGATCTCTGACCATAGTTTCCTCATTAATTCCGATTGCAATATCAGCATTTCCACTTACACACTACAATAATTTTTAATGGAATTTTTAACGGTATTTTTCGTTAAAAATTATCAATGAAAATACCAATAAAAGATTTTACTAAAAATTTCTAACGGAATTATCAACAAAAGATTTTGTTGATAATTTTCAATAAAATTTAATTAAAATATATTATTAACAAATTTTTTTATTGAAAATGCAATACTAACAAATTTTGTACGTAAGTTCATAAATGATTAAATAAAAATTAAAATAAAAACTTCAAACTGATAAAGTGAAAGGCTTTTGTAAATATTGAGTAAAAATAAAAAGGCTTTTGTAAATCGAACAAGTGTATAAAATTTGAATAAATTTTGATAATTTATTTCAATAAGCTTTATTAAATTTATTCCAAAGGACAAATCTGATCACGACCACCATAATAACTACAAAGACAACATTGTATTCTCCGCAAGAAAATAAGAGCTAGAAATCACATTAGTAAAGTAGAAAGCGAGCACACATCTAAATAGACAAATGAGAAATTGCTAGAGCATGAAGAGGGATTTCCTTGTTGACAGTTAGCCCGTAGAGTTCACTCATGTCCAAGTTCTCTGCAATTTCACCAGGAGGTAACGTCCAATCAAACCGATAGAGAAGGTTAGCAATCACATATTCAACAGAAGCAACTCCAAATGGCATCCCAGGACAGGCCCTTCTTCCACAGCCAAATGGGATGAACTGGAAATCTTGACCTTTGAAGTCAATGGCCACATTCTCGAACCTCTCTGGAATGAACTCCTCCGGTTTGTCCCACCAGTTCGGATCCCTTTGAATTGCCCATACATTGATAAAGACAGTGGTGTTGGAAGGAATATCATAGCCTTCCAATTTAGCACTTGCGGATGTTTCTCGAGGAACCAGGAGAGGAACAGGGGGATGTAGTCTTAATGTTTCTTTGATGACGCATTTTAAGTAGACCATTTTATTTATATCCTCTACATCTACCTTTGATTTCTTTCCAACCACACTTCTTACCTCTTCTTGGACCTTTTTCATGACATTTGGATGCCGTAGGAGTTCAGCCATCAACCATTCTGTTGTTGTTGAAGTGGTATCAGTTCCTCCGATGAACATATCCTGAAATTGTCAAACCAAAAGAATTCAGATAAACGCGCAAAACAAAACAAAAAAAAGTTTTGGGGGGCGGGGTGGTGAGGGGGTAGGAGAGAAACTGAGACAGAGAGACAGTTGAAAGACCAGTAAGATTGCTTTGATGTTGTCTTGAGTGAGGTCCATCTCAAGCATGCCATCCTTTTGGAGTTGGAGGGTAATAGAAACAAAATCCTTTTTATCAGACATATGGTCATGGCTTATCAAGCCTCTGTGCTCCTCAATTATCTGATCCAAAAATGTATCTATTTCTCCAAAAGCTGCTTTCAAACTTGGAATAAATCCGGTAAGCACATCCAGCCACCTCAAGTAAGGAAACATATCCCCAATACAAAAACTCGCGAGGAGAGCCATAATCCTTCTTGCCAACTGCCCAAACTTGTTGCTACCATCTTCTTCTTCAGCTCGCCGACTAAGAACGCATCTAGACACTATGTTATTCGAAACGGCCATCAACATCTCCGTTAGATTAATAGACTGTCCTTTTAGAGAGGCACGGTTGATTTTGTTGATAAGAAGTTCGACTTCTTCGTCTCTTACAAACTGAAATGAGTGTACTCTTCGGAGGCTGAAGAGCTCAATTACACTGATCTTCCTAACTTGTCTCCAGTACTCACCATAAGGTGCAAAACCAATATCCGTGCATCCATAAAGCAAGATATTTGCCGCTGTGGTCCTGGGTCTGTTTGAGAAAACAATGTCATGATTTTTGACGATTTCTCTAGCCATCTCTGCTGATGATACCACTAGAGTTGGATTATGCCCCAATTGCAGAAGCAAGAGAGGGCCATACTTTCTAGAGAGGTCTAGGAGAGAGCGGTGGGGAAGTTTGCCTAATTGATGGATGTTGCCGATGATCGGTAACTTTGGGGGTGATGGAGGCGGATTAAGTTTCTTTCCTTTTGCTAGTTTAAGCCAAATTACGAGGGAGAAAAGGAGAATAACAGATAGGAACAATGGATTGTAAAGTTTAGCTACATTCAACTCCACTAATGGTAGTAGCTCCATTTTGCAGATGTAATCATCTAATGAAGCAGCTGGCCTTTTAAAGCCTATGTTTGCATCTCTTGTTAGCTAATAATTCTTACTACTTGTTTTTCTATTCGTCGTATAATTCAACCTCTCCTCTTTGGCAGACATCTTCAGTACTTACGCAACCATTTTTGGCATATTTTTATTAAAAGATAAACGCAAACGTTCAATAATTGGTCAATTGCTGATTCAGGAATCTAAGTTATTATTAAAAATAACAAAGAACAAAAGAGAAACTGTAGGAGGGGCACACTCATCTACAATATTATTTTTCCAAATCATACTACTAATACGATTTTTTAACAACTGAATATGATTAAACGTTTAGTGAGGCTATCATGATTCATTATTCTCCAGCTTTTGTCTCCTTTCGCTGCTTTCTTGCATAGATTAATAAAAGAACGTGTTTTTGTTTTTTGTTTTTTTTTTTACTTTAAATCAAAACTTAATCAATTTGTTTTATGAATAAAATTACTTTGACTTAATAATATCGATTCATAACCTGATGGCATGGCTCTGAATACTGATGTGGGAAAACCTGATAGACGAGGAAGAGACAAGCAAGTGGGAGACAGAATGGTGAAGATAACATTGAGACAGATAAGCTATATATCTACAAAGAACCGACCTAGCAAGAGCGGTTAAGGACTTGAGAGTAGGGAAACTTGCATGAATAAGAACAGTAGAGATTTGAAAAGCCACTTGTATGTGAAAAGAAAGGGAGTTGTAAAAGGGGTTCAAATGGTCTCATTGTACGTGAAAAGAAAAGTTGTAAAAGGGTTTCAAATGGGGGGATGAACTTAGAGGTAAATGGAAATGAACAAGGCTACTTGGGGTTCAATAATATTACATGCTAGACCACTTATCATTATCTCTTGATTAACCTAATCTCTCTTTCTTTAATTTAGTTTTTTTTTAACAAATAACATTAAATTATAATTTTTTTAATTAAAAAAAGAGGAATTTGAATCATATTTTGTAGGTAGAGAAATCATGTACTCATTAATAAGTCAAAAATTCAGATATAGGATTAAATTATAGGTTATACATAAAGAGTATAATTTATCTTGCTCTCATAAATAACATTTTTCTAATCATTTTGGAAGAATTTTATCATCAACAGAAGTCACTAACTTATCATTATTAAATCTTAGATTTCTAGTTAAAGGTCTTAGAAAATTTTTTTTGTGATTATATATATGAAAATATATTGATTTTTATGAATTAATTCAACAAAAAGAATGATAACTTTTCTCCTCGAATACTATAAATTCACTTAAATTTGTACATAAAATTCTGAAAGTAAAACCTTAGATCCTAGCAATTGAAATATTTTGTATAAAAAAAAACACTGTTGGGACTATCATTAAATCTTACACAAGAAAAATACTTTATTTATCTCATAAATACTGTTTTTTTTAATTATTTTAAATATTTGATAAAATTAAACTTTAACAAATATATATGAAAAACTACTTTACTCAAAACTTTTTGAAGAGTCTTTTCCCAAAATTTATTCTTCCTAAAGAGAGATAACAGTCATTATCAAGTTAACTCTTGATTAACTTCCAAGCTGAAATAATTTAAGTATTTTTTTAACCACCCCTTTCATTTGGCTGTTGCTGTACGGAAAAAGTGCCGTGATAATGTCAAGGGCCGGGCGCAAGCTTTACTTGTTCAGCTGTGGAATTAATATTGGTTGGGTCTTTCATTAAATTTAAGATTTGATCAAGTGTTCTCGAAGCTACTAAGTAAAACTGTAAAAGTGTGTTACGTTTTACCAGTGACGACACTTTGGTTTGGTCTGTCAAATGACCGGTCTAGTTCCATTGACCGAGGATAATTATGATTATTAATTAATTTCTTTGTTTTTTTTTTGCTTGTTTGTTTGTCTTTCTCCCTTATTATTTTCTCAAAAGATATTGTTTTTAAACATTTTCACATCACTAAATATTAATCTTTGTTTCAACAAACTTATTATGTATGGATTTTTTTTGACATAATGCTCAAATAAGTTCTTAAATTATTTAAGAATATTTAAATAAATTTTTATTCTTTTATTACGTTTAATCAAATTTTTATATTTTTATTTTAGGTCAAATAAACTTTTATGATTAATAATTGACTAATTACTTTTAATCAAAATATCACTTGTCAATTTATTTTCATATGATACTAGCACGACGTTGATGTTGATGGTGAAAAAAGTCACATGATCATATTATTATACCAAATTAACAAGTTATATTATAATCAATTATCATCAATTATGATATGTTAAATTATCACATAATCTATCACTTATCATTTTATATTCACATGACATTGATATGACGTTGATGTTGATAGTGAAAAAATTCATATTATCATGTTATTATGCCAAATTAGCATGTCATATTATAATCTATTATCATCAATTATGATATGTCAAATTATCACATCATCATCAATTATTATATATTAACATGCCACGTCAATGTTACATGATATAAAATGACAACTGAGATTTTAACTAATTCAATCATTAATTATAAGGGCATATTTGACTCCAAAATAAAAATAAAAAGATTTATTTGATTCAAAATAAAAAGTACAAGAATTTGATTGCATGAAATAAATGTATAAGGGCTTATTTGAATTTTTTCAAATAGTTTAAGGGTTTTTTTAGATAATATGGCATTTTTTACTAATAAAAAATTTTAATCTTTCAATTCTATTTTAATTACTTAAATTTTACAAATTATATATTTAAAAATTACTTTATTCAAAATTTTTAGAAATTTTTTTTTATATTTTTATCAATGATATATATAAAATAAAACAAGTCAAAGTTTAAAATTTTTAACCAATGAAAAATCAACATGTCATAAGTTTTTAGGAGGTAGGGAGTAATTCTTTTAAAATAATTCTTGAAAAGGCTACTATAGTATTCAAGAAAATTCAAATAAACTTTTTATTCTTTTATTGTGTTCAATTAAATCTTTATATTTTTATTTTAGTTCAAATAAATCTTTATGATTAATAATTGACTAATTGTCATCAATTAAAATGTCATTTTTCATTTTATATTTACGTAACATTGATGTGAATGGTGAAAAATATCACATGACTGTACCATTATATCACATCATTATCTATTATGACATTTCAGCATACCACGTTAGGGTCTCATGATATAAAATGGCAAGTGACATTTTGAATAAGTCAATCATTAATAATAATAGCTTATTTTGTTCAAAATAAAAGTATAATGATTTATTTGGTTCAAAATAAAATTAAAAAGGTTTAATTGAAAGTAATAAAATAATAAAAATTTATTTAAATTTTTTAAAATAGTTTAAGATCTTTTTTAAATATTATGCCTTTCTAACAAATAAAATCTTGTATTAGTTTCGATCCCTCAAAGCAACTCTAAGCTCTTCTATTTTGTTAATGTGTCCTTAACAAGATATAAATCCAAGTTGAGAAGGCAAATGTCATTGGTTGTAACACACATTTCAAATCTAGAGATTTAAAATACAGTAACATCACATACTAATGAAATGAATCTCATATGCAAAGCAATGGATTTTATAGTTAATCAAATCAATGTCTCGGAGAATCTCCAAAAATAATATTTTACAAAATCTCAAGTCTTCAAACTTAAAAAAACACAAATTAATTCAAAGATGTAAAATTGCAACTAACAATTCTTCTATAATCGATAGCCAATACTCACTTGCAAGCACGTGCAAGTCAATGGACACAATGCAAATTTTACTAGCATGAGCTCTTGGCAAATCTAATCCTCTCGTATGTAAATGTTGTAATTTGAAAAAGTAAAGAAAATTAAAAGAATGAATACAATCACTTAAGAATAATCAACATCTACTTAGGTGAATTAAGTATGGTTTTGAAACATTTGGACCAAATATCCATTACAATGGTTCGAATCTAAAATTGGGTAATCTAATATTCAGGAACGGAGTTAGTCAACTTTTGTTGGAGTCAAAAACAGAAAAATAAGAATTAAAAATTTTAAAAATTAATATGTTGAATTAACCAACAATCAAAAGATTTATAATAAAAAATAATTTTATATAACATGTAAATCAAGAACAAAAAGACTTATAATAATTCTTTAAGAAAATTGTGCTTGACGATATGTTTTGAAATCAAATTCATCAATTATTGATTTTATACTGAAAAGCATCCATTTCTTTATGATTGAGTCTTGGATATTTGGATTCACATTGCTCTTGTTCATGAATTGGAGCATTGAGGCTTGGTGGTTCAAGTATAGAATAATCATTTGGACGATTTGCATATTTTATTTTAAAAAATTTGTCAATTATTTTCAACTTATTCATACTTTAATCAATCTTGAAAAAAAAATTAATACATTCAACTGTAACGACCAAACTTAGACTGTTATCGACGTTCAAGTCTCCCGAGTAGAGCAGCTAAGTTTCAAGCCAGCCTAATGTCAAAACCTTTTATTAATTAAATAAGATATCTTTAAATAAACATAATTATGGGTTATTAAATACTCTTTCCTACTTGCATACTTACGATGATTAATTAAATCTACCTCTAACGTATACTCACCTTTGCTATTGGTGTTTGATAGATTATCTAAATCCAAATAAGTTGTAATAAAAATTAATCATGACAAGAATCAAGTGATTTCCATACTTAATTACAACACAAGAAATTCAAACATGTTCATCCAATATTCCATCATAATTTAATTCAATTTTTAAAGTTACATTCTGGTAATTTTATTAATCTCGACTAATTGAACATACGTTTAACATGAAACCTCTCGTAGTGAAGTGACTCGAGAGAAGATACTAGGAGATGCTTTTACCTATGTCGAAGTGGACAAAATTTCATTGTGGAATACGCTAACCCAATCACTTATCTACAAAATGAAAATATTAAGATGAGTCTCACAGATTCAGTGATCATTGACTTTGTGAGCAAGACGAAGATAGAAAACATGAATAAAG